TAATTAGAAATTCAATGGGGGACATCTTGAAAGGGTACTTCGAACTGACACAAATTATACTACTCAGTTCGATCTGAAATTTGATTGACATTTTACTGGCTGTATGGAAAACAATTTCATTTTTGTTTAATAAATCAACAACAGAAGTTAGTCCTGTACGGTGGCAATCATTTCAAATGATTTAACAGATGTTAATTGTTTAAAATGCTTAATACATAGCACTGTAAATATTTAAAACTTAAATGCCTTTGAAATGTAAATCCTGTAATACATAATTAAAATAAAATTTTAAAAATATTAGGTAACCCCCAAAATGAAAAGCTTGATGCAGCTTTCATAACCCTCTTGTCTTAATCCGAACCAACTATATATGACATGTTTTCGGACAAAATTGAATTTCTGGGGTTGTTTTTTGTTGGTTTTTTTTACGATAGTAAATAACACACACACAACTTAATAGAATCTTAATTTAATTCAACTTCATCAATATCACTTTCTAGTTTTATTTCACCACATTTATCCCAATCCTTAAGATTTGACCCAGTAAGAAAATTATCCCTTAAAACATTCCAAGTTGCAGGTTTATCTGATTCTTCTTTCTCTTGTTTGACCTGTAAGGAGGAGATGGAAATGCTGATTATTGTAGGTCATAAGAGGGCAAAATCGAATTAGAAGTGGAATTAGGGCAAATAGGGAAATATCATTTAAACAAATAGAGTGACGTAAAAACAGTGATGCATAAGGTATTACCTCTTGCTTCTTTATGCGAACATTATCTTCCACTCTCTCACTTTGCGCTTTACCCATGAGAACATCTAAAAATGCTCTTTTGTCAATGGACTTTAAGATTTTCTCTTCTTTTCTAATTGACCCATTAGCTTCTTTCAGCTTGCTGCTAATATCTTTTTGCTGTTCTCTAACAGCATTGAACAACTGAACTACACCCCTGAAACAAAATCGAAAATGAAAGAAGAATTAGTACCAGAAAATTCTCTCACCATCCCATAAAACTCTGCATCATACACTTTTAATTTCAAAAATAGGTCCTCTTTAAATAACCAACAGGCAACACTGAGATAAGTTGTAAGAGAGTAAATTATTTGTAGAAGTAACCACTTCAATTAAGCAATGAGTTTCATAACCAAAAATTGATCTACAAAAGAACAGAAGTATAAAGATAACTTACTTAGTTGCTATTTTAGACAATGCTCGCTCTCTTTCACGGTGCAGTATGGAAGGTTTGACTTTCCCTTCAGCTAATTGCGCTCTTCTCTGTCGGGTAAGCATAAGAAACATATTAGGAATATTTGAGTGAATAAAAGAGGTAAATATATAATAAAAAATGTTAATAACCAACCTTAATTTTGTCTTTGATTTTAACAAGGTCAGGTTTTAAATCTAATTCTTCGACTTTTGGTTTAACATCCTTATCTTCTACTTCACCATCAATTTCAAAACCATAATCCTCTTTTGCATCAGGTGATGCTTGTGAAGCAGTGACTTGGCTTAGCTTCTTCGCTTTAGCTAGCACAATGCTCTTCTTACCTTTTGGTTTCGATGTCCTAGAAAGTTAAAGAAATAAAAATTTGTTGCCTTTCAACACATACAGTAAAGTAAACAATGTACCACTTGCCCCAAATGCCCTTTAAACTGTGGGTGGGTAAAAATATACAATAAATAATTTTAATTAATTTATTATTAGTACCTCAAAATTTTAGCCATTGCATCTGCCCAGCCAGCATTGCCATGGAGCTTTGGATCACCAGTTTCAGTATCTGCATAGTTGCCTATGAAACCGTCAGCGACTTCGTTGTCTTCAGAGCTTGATGAATCGTTGTCTGCATCATTGTCATCATGGCCATCGACGTCCATCCAATCTTCCCCCTCAGCATTGTCGTCCTCAGACACACTATCCATGTCATCGTCGGACTCATTTTCTTCATCATCTTCTGTTCCTGAGTATTCCTCCTCACTGTTGTCATCAGCAGAACCACTAGCATTACTATCACTCTCGTCATTGGCATCGCTTGTACTCGGTTCACTAACACGTTCGTCCTCACTATCCCTCAAATCTGTCGGGAACATTAAAAGGAAACATGCTGTTATTAGAATGGAGCTGTGGGCTGTTGTAACTACAAAAACATCTTCTAACCTCAACCAACTCACGTGGCTTTCAACAATATCCACAAAAACATGAATAACTCCACTCAACATCTAAGCACAAGACAGCACCATTTCAGAAAACCATAAATAGCACCATACATACCCTGTGATTGCCGTAGCAAATGTTTCTGAGCCGAACTTGTACTCATTTTGGTTGTTTTTTTCGACGTGACGGCAGCCATTATGTTTACGTTCTATTCTTGCGCCGTTCTCTATTCCACCGTTCCGTAGTTCCGTACTGCGCCCCCCCTCCCCCTCGGTCCCCATTCCACCGTTCCTACAACTATTGAACGACGGAGATAAAACGTTCCTTTTGACAAAGCAGTGCTGCCAACTTACATTTCACATGAGTTAAAAGAAACGAGAAAAATAGTGAAGTAGCTTCAGTTTTCTGCCAATTTATATTTCTCCACGCAGCTTTCAAGAACGAAGCAAGTTGTTTAAAAAACCGGCAATCTATCCACGGTCATCCGATTCACCTTCTGCATAAAAATGAAATCCCTGAGTTTTAATTTCAAGTTGTCTTGACATAAAACCTTAGAAAGACTTGTTTATGTGCATTTTCAAATGATCAACAATTGTGCTCCGGTTTAGTCCAGTGTAGGGGACTTAAGCATTGAGGAAACTGAATGATGAATTAGGATGGATTGAGGTATAAAAAAAAGGAGTATGTTTGAATAAAATATATGCCAGCTTCGACAATTTAATAAATGTGATCAGACAGGCAGCTTACACTCAGGTGCAAACACATACTGGGCTTTTATAACGTCTTGTCATAATACAGTCAGTTAACACTAGATCATACACATAGGACATATTTACAAGCATATAAGACCTAGCATCAAAAAATGCAGTATTATATTAGGTACATTATGAAGCCAGCATTAAAAAGTAAAACTTTTCAGTCACAAAACTTGTCACTTCTTGAAACCACAATCTTATCCCTAAAAAGTAAGATACAAAAGAGGTAACACTTCTGTCCACTAGTGGACAAAGAATAACAATATTTACATAGTGATCATTCAAGCCCTCTCAGCAGGACTGACACCACTTAGCCTAATTTTAAACTTATACACATGGTTGTATAATACCATGAATCTCCATTGCCCCACTTCATTTGTAGTAGATACAACAGCATGATGCAGACATTTAGTCCATAGCTTTGTCACACAAGTTCAAAATCAAAACAATCAGTCCTCAAAACGAATAGAATTCACGGTCACATCAATCTGACCACCTCGGTAGCTCCCACGCTTCTTCTTAGTCTTCTCATGACGGAATGACTTGCCTCTGGTAAATCTCAAGTCTTCATTGGCTCTTTCACCCCAAGAGCCCCGTGAACCCCTCTGAAAATGGAATAAGACAGAAGATATTAAAAACCACAACCACACTGATAAGAGAGCACTTGTCAAGAGTGACCCAAGATTATATTCTGAACCTTATTTCTCAAGGAAGCAGACTAGGCGTTGGAGTCTGACAACTTACCATTCATCAAAAGTAATTTTCTTGTTGTTTGGGGTGCCAAAAGAATCACGTTTTTGGAACCCACCCCTTCCACCACGGTCTCCACCCCCAAATCCTCTGCCACCAAATCCACGTCCTCGTCCGCGACCATCCCTGTCTCCGAACCCACCACGACCTCCTCTACCACCCCTGTCGCCGAACCCACCGCGACCACCTCGGCCCCCTCTGTCGCCAAATCCACCACGACCACCTCGGCCTCCTCTGTCGCCAAACCCACCCCTACCCCCGCGACCACCTCTGTCGCCGAAGCCGCCTCTTCCTCTGAAGCCCCCACCACGACCTCCGAACGACCCTCTGCGATCTTCAGTCCACTTGGCATCTCCATTTTCCCCACCCTCCTCCTACACAGGAAAGGAAGGCAAATGTTAACAATGCATGAAAGACAACTTTGCAGTCATGTCCACAGCTCATGGGTTTCAGGATATATAATGTAAATGGCAGTGATTTGAACACTACACCAATAACTCTTCTGGGCCAAGAGTACGTCCATGCATTGTTACTATTTGCCTCCCTTGCCAACAAAAGTAGCAAGTTACCTTGGCGTCAAATGAGTTATTGGCGAAGCGTGGATCAACTGCTACAGTTTCAGCTCGCACTCTTCGGAATGGTTCAGAGAGGCGGCGAGCCTGATTTACTTTTGATTCGCAATCCTGAAACCCGTTTGAGTTGCAGAAATAAACCAATATTGAAAGTAAGTACATTCACTAGGAAAAATTACTCACCTCATTTTCCTGATCATCTCCTTTCACAAAATGGTTTGAGTATGGGCTAGCTGCTGGCTTTTTCTGCGTTTACAGTAAGAAGAATGAATACGGTGTACAAGGAAAGTTATTTCAACAGAAACTTCAGTAAACATAAATAACTTTATGAAGCCACTAACCAGTTTTGGTGTTTCATCCTCATCCTCTTCCTCAGAACTAGACTTCTCCCGTTTCCTTTTCTGAGGTGAAGCCTTGGCAGCAGGTTTAGGAGCAGGGGCACTTTCTTCACTAGAGTCAGAGTCCTCTGAAGAACTCTCCTTAGCAGGAGCAGCCTTGGCAGGGGTAACTGCACAAAAAAGATTTATATAATCCACTGCAAACTAGTCCAATCATTGAGATAAAAAAATTAAGGGGGCAGACATTGAAGGACAAGGCTTACCCTTCACAGGTACTTTTTTGGGAGCTTCCTCCTCATCTGAATCTTCATCTGAGTCTTCAGACGATGATTCCTTAGCTTTAGCAACAGCCTTCTTTACTGCAGGTGATTTGGCTGGAGTCGGAACCTTGACTGCTGGTTTGGCTGAAATGAAGTAAATGGAATAAAGGGCTACAAAAACACTGAACCATAGAGACACATCGATAGACAATATTTACATGAGTCAGAAGAATCACTGTCGCTGTCATCACTTGACTCTGCTGCTGCTTTAGCAGCTGGCTTGGCAGCTGGTTTGGCAGGTCCTTTAGATTGACCAGGCTTGAAAGCTGGAGTAACAACTTCGCCATCATCATCATCACCTGTAAATCAAGGGAAGAAATGAGGGTTGCGACACAAGGAAAATTAGAAGACATTCTTGAGAAGCCTGAACTTACTGTCATCGGACGATGAATCTTCTTTCTGAGCAACAGGCTTGGCAGGTGTCGGTTTCACCTGCTTCCCCTTAGGTGGTTCATCATCAGATGAATCTGAATCATCAGAACTTGATTCTTTCTTCTTGGCAGGAGTAGGTGCCTTGATGGGAGCAGCTTTGGCTGGAGCAGCCTTCGTTACAACCTTGGGAACAGTTTCTTCATCTTCAGAACTGTCGTCCGAGTCCTCACTGCTGCTTTCGGCTTTCTTTGCTGGAGTAGCCTTGGCAGGAGTGGCCTTGGCAGGGGTAGCCTTGGCAGGAGTAGCCTTGGCAGGAGTAGCCTTGGCAGGAGTAGCGGTCTTGGCTGGTGTAGCTGGTTTCTTGGTTGGAGCCTCATCTGAACTATCACTGTCATCACTGTCACTGGATTCTGCTTTCTTCGGCACAGCTGCCTTAGGAGTTGGTTTGGCAGGTGTAGACAGTTTCTTCGGTTGTTCCTCTTCAGAGCTACTGTCCTCACTACTGTATTGGAAAATCATAAGATGAGACCAGGTAAGACGAGGTCAATCAAACAAAATAAAAAATTAAACAAACCTTGACTTTGCAGCTTTGCCATTGGCAACTTTCTGAGCAGGTTTGGCAACACCATTTACTTTCTTGGGAGTTTCATCTTCGGATTCTGAAAAAGAAAACTAAGTAATGAAAATAATCACACTAAAAGATTAACAAGCAGCTGCTGTAAAACAAACCTGAACTAGATTCAGAACTTGAATCCTTCTTTGATTGATTCTTAACCACAATTTTCTTCGGAGATGTGCTGTAAGGCAAAGATTAAGAGAATAAGTAGATGAAATGCATTATGCTTTATATTTCAAGTGTTAACTCTAAAAGGACAACTACAATGGCTCACCTCTGATAATGTCTAACAACATCAAATATTGTGGGTGATCCTTTCGGTAATGTTACCTGCAATGAAAAATTCACATGTATCACTGGTAAATAACAAATAGGAAGTAGTTAAAACTGAACCACACGCACAAACGGTCCAGAATAGGACCGGTCACTAATATAAACTTTGGAGGCCTAAAGAAAGCCGTTGCATAGCATGGCGCAAGGCCGGTATATTTTCAGCCAACGCAGTTTAAATAGGTAAAATAGAGCCGTTTTGAGATGCTCAAATCGACAACCACCACAAAAGGTAAGTGTAACTAAGCACAGCACCCGGCGGTCATGAGCTGAGTCGCGCGTAAACAATAATTGGATGAGTTGAAACGCGCGTTTGCTCACACACGTGGTTATCATGTGGTGGGCGCCCATGCACACGCACTTACCGCTTTCGTCTTCTGTTGAAATAAATGTGCCAACGATTTGTCCTTTTTCGCCAGAAAATCGAACACAAGTGCACACACACCAACTTCGTCAACTGTAGCCATTGTAGAAACAACCTTTTCTACTTAAATCAATTTAGGCTTCAGCGGTGCAAGCACACGTTCCTGCTGAAGACGAAAAGGCCAAGCACGCTGCGATCAGCCAAGGAGTTGCGACGTTTGTGGCTCGGATTGGGGGAGAAGAAGAAGAAGAAAGACGAACCACGACACTTGCCGGAAATGGAATACCATTTATCGTCCAAGACCGGAAGCTCATCATTTGTCGTCGATCTATCGAATTAAGAAAAAAAACAACGAAAAATATCTTTTAAAAAACTCCTAAAGTGAATAGTGAAATTTTAAAAATTCGTCAACATTATTTCTCAATAGTTAAGATGAATTAAGTGATAATGTGATGTCTCAAAGTGGGTTAGGTGAACACCGTGCCATGTTCATGCACTCATGAGCCTTGTCGGATGGCCTTGAATCTTATCGGGGATGTAACTCAGCGGTAGAGTGTCTGCTTCGCATGCTGAAAGTCCTGGGTTCAAATCCCAGCATCTCCAGTGACTACCTTTTGATTTGACAATTTAAGCTAAATTTTCTGATTTTTAGAATGAATGACAATAAATTGAGTCATCAAGTTAAAAATTACTAATTCTGATAGTGGTTAGCTGCATTCTTGTCTGGTTGGTGTTGCAGTGCCGAAAAGTGAACGGACAAACAAGGATACACCGATTTTGTGGCGCAATGGCTACATTTGTGCTGTCTGCTGTGCGAACTCTTCAAAACAACTTTGGGTAACAGCAATAGTACACTAAGTGTCACTGCTCTTTTAAGTGCGGATTAAAATCGATCTCTAATAATATTTTCCTTTTTTTCTGTTATAACCCTATTTATTTAAAAATATGTTCTCTTCATCTCAAATATGAAAGGACCTAACCTCAGGTTATTTTGCCTTCATTCTCAGGCGACATAAATATTTTCTTGGATCCATTCACGATTTCCACTCCACTAATAAAAGCTCGGCTGAAGTGTCTGCAAACCTATCACAATCCAATAAAGCTGATTTAGAACTCAGCGATACGTGTGTGAAGAGACTACAAGAGATAGCTACTGAAGGGAGTTTCTTACGAGTTACTGTCGAAGGAGGCGGGTGTTCAGGATTTCAATATAAATTCGAGTTGGATTCCAAAACAAATGAAGATGACAGGTAAGAATTACATTGTGAAATGATTATAAGCTAAGTTACAAAATGTATAATGTGTTTTTAAACTTGAAAACTGTAGAATATTTTCCAAAGACGGAGCAAAAATAGTCATCGATGATGTTTCTTTGGGGTATGTGAAGGGCTCTGTGATAGATTTCCACACGGAGCTTATAAAGTCTGCCTTCCGCATAATCAACAACCCCATGGCAGAACAAGGATGTTCATGTGGAGCATCATTCTCTATAAAAATATAGGTGGTATATTAGTCAGTGCTAGTGCAACATACAAGCAGACTGACTATCCATTAGAAAAATAACAAATAAATTATGGTTGATATAGAAGTACACATTTAAGTATATAATATTATTTCTAATAAAGGCTGTGAAATTATTATTTTTTTTTTTGTTATTGGAATCCAATTACAGTCAATTACATTAATTACATTGAGAGCGACTCCACTGGGATCACAGGCAAAAAACGTCATAATGGGGTAGTTGTTTCTGAGGGTCGTACTAACAAAGATTTAGTGTATTACTACAATACATTAGTTGTTTTAAATAACTTTAAGAAAATTATAAAAGAGAGAAAATTAGAACTCACAACTAACAGAAAGCAAAGTATGACATTTAATAGAATAATCAATCATACAAAAGAGCATTTTTAAGCATATCATGACAACAATACATATACAAAGATAAATATTTGTAAAATAACTATTACCATCACAAAATTTGATCACATTCCTGAAAAATTAGTAGAAAAGAGATGAAGTTCAGGACCCATATTGTGACAAATCATCATAATTAATTGCCAGAACAACTTTTAAAGTGAATTACATGATTACAAACGATGGGTTTACTGATACCTGTCTAGCCAACAAACCCATTACTGATAAGAATTTTTGTCTCCATCATAGCATGATCATAGGTAGAAAGCCTTGACTAGCCCAAATTAATAATTTATTTGCTACCATTGTTCTCGGCAGCTTTGGTTTGTTAACACTTTTTCATATCTAATGAAGACTCAGTGCAAACAAAGACAATTATTTCTGTTTCCCTTTACTCTTGGACTGTATAGAAAGAAAGAGGCACATTAGAGGTCTACGGCATTAAAGTAACAACACATGAAAGATGTCAAAAATGAAATTTAATAGCTTGCCTTGGACTGAAACTTTAGATGGTCAATAGTGTCTTTTTGGAGGGCAAGTTTATCATTCATATTTGCTAAATGCTCAGACATTACTGCTAATTGAGCATCATAGCCTTGGGTAGTAGAAGTCAACTCTTCTGACAACCTTAAAGCTCGCTCTTCACATAATTTCTGACACTGTACAGCATCCTCGAGTCGAGCTTTCAGTACAGCACACTGCAATGGAACGTATTAAAATTTTCACATGCAATTATATAAAATTTAGATATCTTTTATAATTGAACACAGATGTTTTGTGTATTTTTTTCTTGCTTACCTCAGACATAAATGTTGTAGCTTTGCCTTCAGAGTTTTGACAGCTGGCCACTAATTCGTTAAGACGCGATCGAAAGTATTCCTTTAACTTTTCTTCTCTAGCCTCAACTTCTGGTGGTGTCATTGTTGGGACCACGAGTTTTCCCAACTATGAAATGAGAAATAACTGAATCAACTCAACCTCTTCAAAAATAAATCAACTTTCACTAAAGGGGCAGACCAGTAAAAATAAGGGATGTCAAGAAGCAATAGTAAAAATTTGAGTATTTATCATAGAGATTCGGAATTTGCTATTCCATTGAGCACATTGAGAGACCCATTCTCGCAGTGTGGTTATCCCAGGTGACAAGAAAGGTGCCGATTTGTGTCAAGTAAAATGGTTAACTCCACCTTAGGGCTGCAGCTACAGTGCCTACCACTAGAAACTTGAGTTAAAAATATTAATGTTTAGAATGAGGCAACAATTCATAGAGAAGAAACATTAAGAACAGAGTAAGTTTCATACTTTTCACTCAATTTGAGTACTTAAGAGTTTATATATCACAACATCCGTGGTAGGCACTGAGCGTACTGGTTTTAGTAGTATATGGTTCAAATAAGAATTTTCTGGCTCAAATGGAACGCCCTGAAGTATACACACACCATGGCTGACTCAGGAAGTTAGGGGAGATTCGCACTTTCCTCATAACCAGCGATAACTCTAACTTGCCAGAATGAGTCTCTTTATGAGTTAAATGGAATACCCAGATACGTCTCTGCAATGTACACTGAATTTTTGCCAACTGTTTTTGGAAAACACTGTTTTTAAAAAGTCTGCTCCCTGAAACATCAAAAACTTACCAAATTTGTTACAACTGTTTTAGTCCCATCACTATCTTTGGTTTCTGTTACAGCAGGTGATGAATTTTTCACATTTTCCTTGATAATAACAATCAAATTAAAACATAATGCTTGCTTTGCTTAGATTACACCCATAACGATTTGACACTTACTTCATGTGATTCTTGACGCATAAGCAGCAGGTGATATTCTTGCTGCCAATGTTCACGGTCCCTCTCAGCTTGAGCAGCCTGGTCCTGAATAGAATGTAGCTGAGACAGAAGAGCTTTACAACTTTCTGCTTTGCTTCGAATCTCAACTTGTACGTTTAAAGCTTCTTCATAAGGGACTGAGCGAGGCTCCTCCTGAGAGAAAGTATAGGATCAAAGATTGATTTAAATTTTGAAGAATAAAAACGAATGAACTTAAAAGTAACACTCACTTGCTCTAAAGAGGCGAGGTAATAAGCTGCTCTTTTCCTAAATGCTGTTACAGTTGGATGCGCTTGTTTACCACATTGAGAATCTCCCCCATGTGAGGACTGGTACCCATCCAAAACTTCTACCACCTAATAAAAAAATTAGAAAGATTAGACAACAATATGATCAGATGAAAATTACCGATTTTAAGGTGGAACAAAAAAGAAATTTATGAATAATATTTATAGGTATATTAGGAAATCGCAACCTTTTTGGCAGACGTAACAGCTGAGGCTAATGTGCTCAAAATACCATCTGATTCCTCTTGAATATTGACATCTAAATTGGTTCCATTTTCCTTTTCGACAGAAAATTTAACAGTATATGCACATAGTAAATCTGAAATTTCAAACAAAATTTACAATAGAAAAGTCATATTACGTGCAAAACATATGTCAGAGCACAATGTTAATTAATGTGTTCATAAATATTGTATACCTTGTATAGCTTCGTGCAGAAGCTTTAGAGCTTGACCCAATTCATTAAGAAATCGATGCTGAGATTCAACAGGATGCTGAGAGTGTCTTCTGTCTATAAAATTAGATTTAAGGAACAGATAGAAAAGTTCTTGAAAAGGTAAAGTTCTTGAAAAGGTACATTAATTATGCATAGTCCTAGTAATCTTACTCTGTCCAGCCAGAAGTTGAACATAACCGGATATCTTAATGATCTGCACACTGAATTGTGCAGAACATGAAACAACATCCCGACTTGCAGCAAGTAGTTCATCAGATGCTCCAAAAAGAACACATTCTTCTTCCATGCTATATCAAAAAATGAGTGTTTAAATCTCAAAAGTAATAACTATTGATAAGTTTCTAACAAAATACATAGGAATTCAAACAAAACTTTACCTGAGCTGGCAATAGGGCTGCAGCTTCTGGAGATAAAGACTGTAACACCTGAGAGGCCTACTGAAGGCAAACAACGAAGGGGCAGTGTCAAGAGTCCAAGTTTCACATTCAAGGCCTTGTTGAAAGTCAAAATAACCCTGCTTTAGCTGGTGCAATTGTCTTCCACTATCAAGAAGGTGCTCAGAAAACTGCAAAAGCATAAGAAAAATTGAATGTGAAAAATTATAACAAAACAAAGACATTTACAAAGCAACTTAGATAAATTTTACAAACCTTCGAATTAAGTGGGCTAAGAGTGCCATGCACAATTAACAGACGATTACGCACATGTGAATGGAAGGCCTCAAGAGCACTTGCCATTTCTTCAACATGAGTGCCAGCCACATTCACAGTCCTTAGCACCTTTGCCTGGTGCCCTCGATCATGATGTGGGATGTTTAATTCATTTAGATCTCGATCACCTACAAAGATGAATGAAAACAGGCACTGACAGTCAAGGTCTGCAAACTCTGCATTTGATATTCAAGGTGAAGGTGCTTACTCGAATCAATAAAAGGGAGATGAGTTCTAATAATTCTTGTTGCATCCTCTAGCTGTGAGGTGAGTTGAAGTCGCTGAGAGTTTAATTCCCGTGCATGCCCAGTCAGTTCTATGTTTGATTTTTGTAATGCCTCAACCCTTTGGTCTAGGCGACTGTTAACATGATGTGATGAAGTGTTGGAAGCAGCAGGTAACGAAGATCCAACAGAAGCAGATGCTTTCTCAGCCTCAAGTTTCACAAGTGCTTTCTGAGGAAGATATATTAGGTGTAAAAAGACATGACTTACTCAATAAAAGCCCTTAGGTCTCGGTATAAAGTACCTTATGTTGGTCTTGTTGAGTGCGCAATTCATGCTCTAATTGTTCAATCCTCTGAGAAAGGTGTTCAATGTCTTGACGGTGGGATTCTTCCTTGTCATGCAGCTTGGAAAGAACAAGACAAAAAGTTCTCTAGTAACAATCAAATATAATCATAAAAAATAAATATTATGTAAGAGTACTCACTAAGGACAATAATTTAGCATTTTCAGTTATAGTTTTATGTAGTTCCTCTCCCATCACCTCATTATTATACCCAGTACTAGTATCAGGTGTCTTACTTTTACTTTTCTTCACTTTGCTCTGAAGGTAAAACATAATAAAAATGAAAAATACTTTAGTTGAAAAAGTTGTCTCACTTCCAACAATGAAGTTCTATTAACTACACACCATTGATTCAAGTTCATCCTGCAGCACAGTGACCCGCTTCGTAAGCTGTTGGTTACGAAATGTAAGGCTGTCCATTTCTTGTTCAGCTTTCCGCAAGCCCTGCTCTCTCTCCTTAAGTGTATCACGGAGCTCTGAGTTTTTTGTCTGCTCATCTAATACAGCTTTTTTCAGAACAGCAACCTGAGCACGAACCTATGTCCATGAGAGAAACAAGCAAACAAAACTGTAAACTGATGTTTTTTCAACTATGTAAGTTTAATGAATAAATAAAAATTTACCTTGGAATACTCTGATGCTACTTTCTGATATTTTGTTTGCAAATCTCCGCTGATTCCATCCATGATTGATTTTAAGGAAAGGAACTTATCTGGACCAAAAAACAAATAATAAAATACATTTGACGAAGTGGAATATGAAGACCACATAATGTTAGGAATACATGAAATTCATTCTGAAAGATCAAAATAAAAGCAAGCATACATGAGTTTTATTTTAGAATGAAATACCAAAGATGTCTGAATGGAAGACATTCTATTGAAAAAGAATAAAAGACAGGCAAAAGCTCAAGGCTGCACCTTCATACATTACACAATTATGCTTTAAAAGTGGTTTAATGGTTTATAGTTATTTTAAGTGACAACTGTCAAACACTTACTTGGATTGGTACAGAAATCAAATCTGAGGTTACTTTGAAAAATTAAAGAAATACTGTGACTGCAAAGAATATGAACTACTTTTAATTCTAGTCTTGCATTGTAACATTGTGCTCATTCATAACATATAATAGTCTATCCTTTAATGTCCACAAGAGTTTAGGTGTTGGTTCAAAATTTTGAGGTTGGGGGGGCGTCGTTGATGATGGGTGATTGGTTGGAAAAGGGGGGGGGGAGGCGAGGCATTATTTGCAGATTAAAGTAACAGAGTAACAGTGAAAAAACGAACAAAGAAATCGACATTTAAAATAAAAATCGAAGAGACTACTTTACTTGGTCTTTTGTCTCTGACTTTGAGTCGTTAGACTCGTCCTCGAGTCTGAGTCTGGAGTCTCGCGTCTCGCGTGTTGCCATCCAGCTGTTTTAAAAAACCCGCGATTTGTTTTAAGTGCAGGAGAGAAACTGTAGGAGAAACGGGATAGAATTTTCTACTTTTGAAAAACAATTTAGGTGAACTATGACCTCTGTTATCCAATTTAATTATAATTTATCTTTATGAAGGATATCATACATCTGCATGTCTTGCAGGGCTGATGAAGAAGGAATCATGTTTGTCATCGATTTTTAGACTTAACGTTTGCAGCCTTTTGAGGAAAATCCCGCCAAAATTGTCGCAAACAAACGTCAAATCAAGAAGAGAGATGTGCGTGCAGTATCTCGTGTCTGTGTAGGTGGTGAAAGCTTGGAAATTAAGCGGATATATACTTATACTCGTCTCTTTCTCTTCAGTTCAACAGCTTTTTGTTTTCTTGTACTGTTCTTTCATTGAAGATGGTTCGTACCAAGGCCGACACAACTGGTGTGAAAGGTGCATAATGATATAATTTGTTTTCTTAACCTGTTCTGACCCACACATTCAGGCGCTACACTGTTAATGCTGATGAAATTCATCACAGATTCATTAATCTATTGTTGTATATTTTTTTAGTGTTGTAGCTCCCATTGATTTTTCAAACTTCATTTTTCAGCATCTGGTGCCAAGGCTCCTCGAAAGGCTCTATCCAGTACTCCTACTCGCAGTGTGAGCTCTGAAAGCGATGGCAAAAGTAGGTTTGTCTACCCTCTGTAACTTTATCCATCAAAAAATTTAACTTTTTATCTCACACTTTGCAACTTCCCACTTTGCAGATAAAACTCATGGTGGAGGAAATTCATACCATCCACGTGAAACCCCAGGCTGGCAAAAACCCATTACAACGTTTTTTGTCCGACCACAACCTGAAAGTTGTAGTAACTCTGAGGTAATTGTAAGATATTCACTGGCAAAATTTACCTTTTACAATGATTATTAATTTAATTTTGTGTTGTTTCAGGAACAGACCTCATCTGAAACTGTATCTCCCAACTCAGACAACTAGATGACATGAGTGATTTCAGTTTTAAACTTCATTTGATCTCAATTTTATAAGTGTTTCTTCTATCTCTCTTTGGCAGTATTGTGTTATGCCATTTATCATTAATTTAATTGTCAACATGTCTGTGATAATGCGCTTAAATTAGTGATGCCTTTAAGTTTCACAGACCTGTAATGTTTTGTCTGTTCCCTATTGATGAGTCTGTTCTCCACTTTGAAATTCTTTCATACCGATATTACCAATATGTAGGTCAGTTGATTACTTTAGAAGCTTTTCAATGTAGGTAAGAGGTATCTTCAATAGAAATTTGTTGTTGAACATCATCTAGTTTTTAGAATGGCTTTTTAATTGTTGACTGCAATATATTAACAAAAGCTAATAAATATTCAAATAAAAACGGGTAATGATGGCACTGTCATCACTCAAGTAACCCAATAGTTCGTGTTTTCAACTCAATAAATGTTTTGACAACCTAAACAAAATTGTTTTAATTTTCATTATCCAATTAAAGATGGTAATAACTAAAATGTTCTTTTAACAAGAATGCATCAGATCTGCACTCAAAGTAGTTGGAATAGTTGTTTCATTCATTCACTCTTAATATTTACATTCATTACTATTATCACTCTTTATCATCTTTTCCTTGACTATCATACAATTACTATCACAGGCTCTGGCTAGTTTGGGTTCATCTTAATTAAAACCCTTGTAGAAAGAGATGTCAATGCAATGGTTTAAGATTACACTGAATTGGAGGGTTGCTGGTTTTCTGCCAGAAGCCACAGCAGACCTTCAACAAAAGGCATCCAACCACAATGCAAAACAAGATAACACAATTCAGCACTTAGTGCTTTTTAACGAGAAGAATTACATTCCTTAACATATTATATGAAAAAGATGACAAAGATTTACAACATTTCCATTGAAAACTACTAAGTGATTAATTTCATGTGTGCTTCTGTGGCAATATCTTAATTTTGCAGGTACTGTTTACCACCACTGCTTTATGAGCATACAGAAAATGTACTAGGAAAATTGTGGTCAAAAAACAATGCAGACTTGTCACTAGCTATAGGTAGTTCTACTGGTGTGGCTCACTAACAATGGCAGAGTTAGAGTTGAGTCTTACATACATGACCCAGATCCACATTCCAGTTTATAGCACCAAGTTGCATTGCAAAATAAAATAATGAAAAACTGTCATTTGTCATTTATCAGAACCACAGTTCTCATAAAATAGAAGTGGAACATGAAGACAAATTACCCCCCCCCCCCCTTTTTCTTTCCTTCTTCCATATTTCACAAATATTAATAAAATGAGCAAAAGGTATTTAGTTAAAGATGCAGACCAGATCACTTCAGGAGTATCCGCGGTTTGCAGGTATTACAATAACAGTCCTGAGTACTGACTCATATATAAAACTTACACATCGTGGAAGAAACATAAATTAAAATGCAGGTCTCATCAATCTTTGGCAGTAAGAAGCTTGAGAACTTCAGTCACATGTACACTACGGTACTGTGATGAAAATTGTATGTACTCCAACAATGTACTCCAATTATAATATTGTCTAAAATGAATGAATGTTACTTCAGTTCAATTTGATTAGTATAGGAAAAAACCACTTAAACCACAAACATAAACAGAATAAGTTTTGGCAGCAGGTTGGGGTCAAGTAAAGACCATTACGTCCCTTCAACAAACATTTCCAATTCATCTAAACCAAGATTCAAAAAGTCTCCCAAACACTTTACATATACATCTCCCATAAATCACTTAATAAAACAATTAAAGATAAATAACTAGCAAAAACTTGCACAAATTTACACGCTTTCAATATACAATTCAAAATTAATTAAAATCCTAAGATAAAAATTTACTATTCAAATTATTTACAATCGCACCAATTCAGCTATGAATGCGTTGTTGACCTAGTCATAACATTCCACATTAAAGCACAAGCACCAAATTTGAGACAGTTTGCTTTATCCCTTGTCTCACTAATCACTCTCGATTTCTGAAAAGCACACATTTTCTAATAGCACAAGGTTTAGGTGTACTTGACATTTAAATTCAAGCCATAACTTGAAGCATGAGCTTGATAACTTTATTATCAATACTGTACCACAACTACCAGAATTTAAAGAGGCTACAACAAGCATCATCATAATTCGCTAACAATAGCTGAAAGGAGGAATAAGAGAGGACAACAATCCCCTACAGTTATAAAACCTGAGATGAGAGACTTAAAAAGTGGGATAAAATAAGAGATCATTCTTTGGCATGCAAAGATTCTACTGAGCAATATTTTGCAAGAAAAATATTTAACATAAGTTTTTGAGTAATAAGTACTGCCCACATTAAGTAAAATTGTAAAATCTTCAAAACTTCTGAGTTTATGAGCAAAACTGATGTAGCTCTTCTTTTTTTCACTTTAATGGTTTCACTGGTATGGAAAATGATATTTTGGTAACTAAAGGCCACTACAGGAGTATTAACCACAATTAACTGAATTATAAAATATACATTAGCTTGGTTGTGGCTCAATTATTGGAGTATTCTTATGGAGAATGCTTACAGGTCTACTATTGGCACTTTGGCCACCTGCAGCTCGTCTTCTATTCATTGTCTGTTGATGTGCTTGCAGCTGCTGCTGCTGTAGTTGTTGTCTTTTCACATCTTGGGGACCAGATAAAACCTCACAGTACTCACGGATCAAATTAGCTATTTGGAATGCCTGAAAACAAAACAAAAACTTGTAATCTGAACATTCCGGTTGTAGTTAAAAAGAAAACAACCTTAGCTGCTTATCCAATAATTTACCTGTGAAGTAGTAAGAATTACTTTGCTTTGTTTACGATCACTTCCTGTGATGATCATAAGGCAATTCACAGCTGGAGAATAACTCAGAATGCTCTCATATTCATATGAGCACAGAGCATTTCTAGACCGATGCTCAAGAAGATGAAGACCTGTTTGGTCTACAGCCAACCACAAAACTCTTGGCCAATTTGATGTGAAGGATTGCTGAGAAAATGAAGAGCATGTTAACCAAAGTTTTCGTCAGTTGACATCTGGCTTTCTCTTAATCAAATTTGAAATGACTTACCATCACATCAAAAATAGTAGCCCTGTGAAGGGGCCAGCTTTGAATGAGATTCAGAAATGCTTGTTTTGCTTCTGGTGGTGTCATTCCCGAAAGAGATTGATGATGCATCACAACAGCCTCTGCAGGGACAACGGGCACTAAACGGGGAGCCAAACAGTGACTAGCAACTGAACGATAGTCAAGAAGACTTTCTTCCCAATCACCTAGCTCTAGTTGTGACTGCAAGGCAGTCAACATGACCTGAAGATTAGAAATTACAAAAATTAAGATCAGATCTCACTGGTTGTATTTACCGAAGATGAGGCAGTGACAATTGCTAAAAGGTAATTAAAATTACTATCATAATGCCAGTAAGTCAGTAATTAATTTCAAAACTCACAGCTTCCATTTCTGTAATTGGATAACGATCACATCGAAGCCCGTGAAGAACTTGATGGTAGAGAAGTTCTTTTTCAACAGGATCATTTAGATCAACATATTCATCAAGGAACAAATGCTTTTTGAATAGAAACAGAGGTTGAGGAGCAGACTGTTGTGCTTGCTGTCCTCTTCGACCAATAGTGCCAGTTGAAGTGCCAGTTGAAGCACCACTATTTGTCTGCCCTGTATTTTCAGCTGCCAATGTAGCACGGTATCTTTCCCACTTCGACATCACATCAGCAACTTTCTCATCAGGCATTAAACTGCGCTCCGAACTCCCGAGTACTTCATAAATGGCATAGCCTATTTATTTCGTAAAAAGAGAGGTAATTAATTTATTGAAAATGTGAAAAATGCAAACCATCTTCAATGTGAACAAAAGTTTACCCAATGCTTTCTCCCGCAAGCCAATTTTAGTCTTTACGATTTCCATCACATCTCTTGCAGTGGCTGAAGGGTGGAACTCCACTGCATGATATTGACCATCCATGAAATGGAACCTTGCATATATTGGCCTACGATTGATAGTGCACATGATTTCTTCTCTGGAAGGAGGCCACTGCCGTCTTCTAGTACCTTGTGTTTTGTAAAGGCACTTTGATAGAAAACATAAAGTCAGATTAGTACAACTAAAACCAATAAATAATACCAAATCATTCTAGTCAACACATTCCACTCCTAACCTTTTCAGCAAAACGAGCAAACTTTCCCTCTTCTGTTACAAAGTCTGAAGCACATCTCTTCAAGTGGGCAATAAGATAACGGCGCAATGGCTTCTGCGGAGGTAAAATGACAGAGCATGCCAGAGAGAGCAAGGCCCAATGTCTCAGATTAACCCGGGAATTAGGATCAGGATGTTCTGTGGTTTGCTTTATCAACTGTAAATACAGTTCTGCTAAGAGATGTTCTGATCTCATACAGCGTTCCATTATTGATTTAATAAGATTAATATGTTCATCTTCAGCTCTGCGTACACTGTCACCTAAAGTGGAGAAAAAACACAAAGTTTCTTTGTAAGTAGCCCGGAAAAGATTTGATACACAGGAAGGATAGAATAATACCCAATATTTACTCACCATCTTGACCTAAACCAGCATAAGTCAAAATAGTATTAAAGACTTGCAAGCCTAAAGTCTCTTCAGCCTCTGGAAGTTTGCTAAGAGTCTGGGTCAGTGGTTGTCGGCTAAAAGCCCAATAAGTGTAAGGAAAGCCCTTATATGTTTCACCACTGTCACCTGATCCTCCATGTTCCAACCTTAGTTTTTCTAATCTGTGCTTGCTCAATCTGAAAAGAAGAATTTTCTATGGTAACCAATCCTATGCAATATATATATGTATATATAGATATAAAATTAAACTTCTACAGATATAATTGATTCCAAATTACCTTCTGAGGGTATTTCGAAGGAAGCTTGCTCCAGTATCTTGTGGTTTACGTAATAATTCTCCATCTATCAGTACTCTTCTACAGTTGACTAAATTGTGATAGAGCCTAACTCGATCTTCATTTGTAATGCCCTTCACCTGTTTTAAATAGGTACATATTATAATACACATATAAGTTGGAATTTTTACAAAGTTTCAACACACATCATTAGGGTATGAAAGCAATCACAACTCACTTTTTTAGCTGGAGCTTCACTTTCAGTGATCCACCCAGCAAGTTGTGGGCAGTAGCTAACTATGAGTGATCCTATTTCATTTTTCTGTGGAGTTTCAAAGACAAAGCACTTGTGAGTGTTTTCTGGTTGACCTTGCTGATTTTGATGGTGTGCCTGCCCAGGATGCTGACGCATTACATTAATAGTTATGAAAGAGTCACTAGGATCTAAGAACAGTGATTCAACGTCTTCATATCTATATTCATAAAGAACAAATTTATCATCAGGTTTGATGAGCATCAGTCCATTGCAATGAACTCCAAGGATGAGACTATTGCCTGCAAAGGTACAAGAAACAATTATAGGAAAACTCTTAAACAAACTTAGTTTGAAGAGGAGGAAGACCATAAATAGTAAATAAATTACCATAGGACCAGTATCCTCTGTAAGTAACGGGGAACATTGTGGTTCCATATAGTGGATACTGCATAACACATGACAAGTAGAGGACTTTGGATGCAATCTCCGAACGTCCAGCACCATATTGTCGATGTGCATGGGCAATGATGGGCACCTAAAATATAAAGGGGGGAAAATGACAAAGAGCTAATTTATGGACCAACCTATTTCTAGTATTTGTAATATTGGATTACTCACCCATACATCCTCCCCACGACTTCGGCTAACACGATAAGGCAAAAAGCTATCTACATCATTGTAATAGTCAAGCCGGTTATTGTCCTTCGGATCACCTAACATTACTTGCGCTTGGAGACCGGCCAGCTGAAGAGCAACCTTCTCACTCACAGGAAAATCGTCACACTAAAATTTAAAAAGTATAAAGAAAGGTTTAAGCCCAACATAATTTATGAGAAGGAACAAAAGAGAGAACAGAAGCAATACCTTCACAACGTGGTATACTGCTTGGGCATAAAGCATATTTATTTCAACAGGATCTTGAGATAGCTCCCTAAGATGGTTCGCACGGAAGAGTCGTCTTTTGAAAATAAATCGATTCTCCCCACTTCCAAGAGTAGATCTTTCCCCTCTTCTACTGAGGGTGGGAAATGAGGATGACGATTGTCCCTGCTTTGCTTGTTTCCTTAAAACAAAATAGAATGAAATAAGTAAGAATTCAAGCAACAAAATATCAATTCATGGACTATGCAGTAATTAATTCTCCTTACATTTCCCAAGCTGCAATGACATCATATAGATAGTGATGTGCTCGCACATGCTCCTCACCATCTGGTCTGCTTTGATAAATAGCCCAGCCTTCGAGAGACCGGAGACCGAGTTTGTCAGCTAGCTTTGCTGAAGCATCACTTGCAGTGTCTGTAGGGTGAATATCTATTGCCTTTGTGCGTCCATCTAAGAAGAAAAATCTGCACACAATTGTTCCTAGACGCCTCATGGCCTTGACAAAGATAATAGGTAAAAAAGATTAGTTTGCAAAAATCTTGGAGATCTAAATAGATTGACTGTAAACAAAACACCTACAGCGATTTCCACAGTGGAAGGAGGGTGTTGACGGCAGGAAACTTTGCTATTGTTACAATTATCCAGACACCACTGAACGTATTGCTTCATTTTACCATCTAACTGCAAGTTCTTTTTCAGAAAGCAGACAAAATACTAGAAACAAGAAGTACATCAATTGTTAATACATGTCCAGATTGATGAATGAATAATACATTTACTAATAAAAGCTTGGGTACTTTAAAAAGAAGTTTGCTGGGCTGGAAGGCAACAATTGCAAGACATAGAAGGAGCCACACTCGTTCGACCCATTCTGGGTTTGGGTTGTTTGTGGCTTGCCTGATGCATTGAACAAATATCTCATCACGGAGCTCCTCTCTTTCAATGCCAAATCCAATAATAGATTGAATTGTGCTGATTTCTGCCTCTGGTTTAAGATCTCCTCTAATATAGCGGCACAGATCCTACAATAGTTAAAATACAATTAAGAATTTAAATTCAAGTCCATAAAATAACACAATATTTCTCTTTTAAAGAAAGAACTTACTCTGAATATTGAACAGGCCACATTTACATTCTCTGGGTCATAAAGGTGAATATGTGAAGTAGGAATGGTATTACCCCGGTAGTAAGTGACCATTTCATATTTTGGCATTATTTCCATAGATTTTCGCTTCCGAGTTAGAGTGGCTATAATAGTGCCTAGAACACCCGAAAATGAATGAGAATCCAAGTGCAATAATTGTAGGACAAGTAAATCAAACACCAAAAAATCCTTCACTAACCTTCAGGTGAACGCTCATGAGGATTGAAATAGCTCTGGGCAAATTCAACAATATCATGATATGGATCATCAAGAGCTGAACGAACATGCGCAACCTGAGTAGTTTCTTCGAGCTCCTGTAGTTTTCGCTCGACACGGAATCGACGCCTTTGATCTCGCTCTGGGTCTTCGTGGGTGCCATTCCACTGACCATTCTACAAGATACAAATAGTGGTTACACAAGAGGTCCAAGAATCTTTTCCCAATTTGGAGCCAATGTTTCCATCATTTACTATGATTTATAATTATATATTATTATATTATATATTAATATTATTACCGTTGGCTGGCTAGAACGTGAGCTTGGGCGACTGTGTCTCGGTGAAGCTGTTCCTGCATGAGGCGAATCGGACCGCGGACCGAGACTGTGGTGTTGGTGGGGAAGACCATGCACATTGTGTGGTGGGGCGGCGTGTACCGGGGCGGCATGACCGTTGTTAATCGGACCAGGGCTCGAACCGCGGCTTGAGCCACGCTGTTGCTGGAGTCGTTCCACACCGGGGCTCTTGGGACGCAGCTTGTGAGGAGGTGCAGGCAACGGAGGCGGAGATACACAACCATCGCTCCGAGGAAGAACGCTCTCGTAGATTGGCTCATTCTTTGCATTTGTCGTCGGGGTGGTTTGAAAAGTGGTTGGTGGTGTAAGCGGTGTAATCTGCAAAGGGAATTGAGAGCAACAGGTGAATACTTCATCAGGCAGGCAGTAGAATCCAATAACTCATTACATATCGCATTTCTTCTGTTTGTTTCAGTCTGTATAGGTATTATGCAATAGAGTATGTAGCCAACAGTCAGCAATACTATACCTGGGTTAATGGAGCGACGGGCTCAGATGGTGACACAGGTGCAGCTGGAGGTGGTCCTTGGTTTGCAAATGCTGGTGGTGGTGGTGGTGGTGGTTCTGTTGGTTCTGGCAGAGTTGGTTTGGAACATTTTGGAGCACGCATCTGGTGAGGTAGATCAAGACTGCAAGGAGGTTGAGGCTGCCCAGTAAGACCTTCCAGTTCCTGCTGTATAACTGATTCAAGCTGAGGAGAAAAATAATTACATAAAATATAAGAATTGAGATTTTAACACACTAAAATAACAGTCAGATCTTGTTACATACCTCAACATCTAAATCTTCCACTAGTTCATCCATTTGCTCTCCTATCTGGTCTATGATATGATTACGGTTAACATTTTGGCCAGTCTGAACATCAGACAAAAATGCAAACAAATTGTCCAGGTCAACAGACTCTCCTGACTGTTCTGATGCAGATGCTGCGAGTTTTGAGTTAAGTTGTCCAGCAATTTCTGATAAAGCAGCAATTTCCTGCTGAGCAGCTCTGTAAAAAAAAGGAAAATTAAAAAATTTGAAGACAATTTTCAATTTAAGTTTGAAGAGAAAAATTATTGATAAATTAGTTATATCCATGCAACACACAGTAACTGAGTTCAGAAGAAATCCTACCGCAACCCAAACTACATCCATACAAAGGTGTCTACCAAATCCAAAACTAAAATATTGAAAATTTTGTGCAAACAAGGAAAGTTTTACAATGAAAAAGATTTTTAAATATTTTTTTTCTTTCAAAAACAATAAAGCAAGCACAAGTCTACCACTCTATGAAAAGCAAAAGTTTAGATTATAAATTTTTGAAATCAAACTGAAAGCATGTGAAAACCTATGATACCATTTCAGAGTAGTGAAATCAGAATAAGACTTTATAATGAAGGAGTCAATGCTTTGCAAATACTTCATCAAAGGCATGAACTCACCCAGCCTCCATTCCACTCAAGCCGTTGTATTGGCTTAAAATGAGAAAAAAGAAACATGAACTCTCTGAATTATATATCTGAACTCATTTACATGCACATAGTTTCCGCTTCAATGAAATATCATAAGAGAGATGCGTAGAGAAAAAAACTAGAGCTAGATATTGCATACCTTTCACTGTCTTCAAGATCTTGCTGCAATTCTTTTTCTGACTGCTCGCGTGCGGCCCGTTCTAACTCCCTTTGGCGTCTTTCCTCTTCAAGCTTTTCTCTCTTGCGCATTTCTTCTTCAACTCTGCGCATTTCTCTCAATGCAGCTGCAACCTATATCAAAAAGTTGTAATAGGTATGCAAAAACTAACAAGTAATATTTTCTTTTACAAACTCTTGACTACTTGCCTCTCTTGCAAAAACTCCTCTCAAATGTGATTGAATAACAATAACAGCACGCCTCATCTGAAGGAAAGAAAGCCTTTGCTTCCAGCCTCTATAAGTATGTTGAAGCTTCATAGTTGCATTACGTCTCTTAACATATTCTTGAAATAAAAAGGAAAATTAATATAAATTTTAAGAACCAATGGCTGGTGTTTTCATTAAAAATTTGGTAATTACATGGATGAAACTTACCTTTCCTCACACGGTGACCCTTCCATACTTTTTGAATAATAAGGGCACACTTATTAGTAAGTGTTTTTCGGGCATCCTCAAGTGGTTCATGAGCACATCCTCTTAAAAACACTTTAGATTTACCAATTTGCCATTCTTTTGCAGGAATTTCAAACTGTTTTATAAGTGCCCTAAAAATGGTAAAGAGTACAAAATGAAGAAACCAGATTAGGATAATGATACTGAATATTGTGCAAAGCACTCGAATTTACCTCACTGCATCTTTGATATTCTGCTGCTTTTTGCGATTTCGAGACAGACATCCATAACGTGCCACAAAATCTTCTGAAGTAAAATGGATTGGAAATCCCTCTTTACGGATCCGAATAATATCCAGCATTCCAAGGTATTTCAGCTGATCAAGAACCAATGTCTCGTTGTAGTTATTGGGGGCTTTGTGCATATTGGGTTTAATACACCTCACATACCTGGAATCAAGGAATTTTGTTTAATGTAAGCCACAATGAGCTACTACTTGTCAAGTCAAGTCAAGAAATTGAAATGGGGTTAAAATTACTTACCAAGGATTAGTTGCCTGAAGCACATCAACCAGTGCTTGAAGTTGGTGTCGAAATGTATCACTTACTGTTGGCTTTCCCTTGCTTGTTCCACGAGCCATTGTTTGTTGTGTGCTACCATTAACATTGCCCATCCGGGCAGTGGTGCAACTTAATAGATCCTGCACCAACATACCAAGATCACTACATGTCCCTTTCATATTTTACCAAGTCAACTTTAAAGTAATAATAAATCTCACCTGGAATGCTGTTAATTCTTGAACAAAATCAACTTTTGAGCGAGACAAAAAGTCAAAGAAAACATCCTGTTGTACATCTCTATTTTTATCAACAAATCCAGTCACATTGTACGTCACAGAACCAGCGTAATGCACAATACCAAATTCTTTTTCCCAATTCCTTTTATCCTCTCCTTTTACATACTGAGGATGGCTATCAAATTCAGCATGGAGATTATTCAGATAAGCAAGATCAGACCCCTGCAAGTGTTAAAATTAACCAATTAGAATTACCATTTATCTAATTTTCTAAACATTAAAATAGACAACAATGTACTAACTAAAAAGAGATTCTGAGAATCATACCTTAGGCATATGGCATTGTTCAGTAAGCAATTTTAAAATGCATCTTGGGGGACGTTCTACCAATTCCAAACATGATGTATTGTCAGTAAATGTTATGTGAGCAAATTCGATTTCTTCTTGACGATACTGTAATTTGGAAGGAAAAAAAGGTGCATTTAGGAACTGTTGATTAATTTTTGAATTTCACTGCTAGCTGCTAGCTTTGTTAGGAACTTACTATCTCTTGCTCAAGAGCAAACACATAGTGGTTGAAAAATTTGTGAAGTTTCTCATTTGTATAATTTATGCAGAGCTGCTCAAATGAATTAACAGCAAAATTCTCAAACCCAAAAATATCAAGCACACCTAGAAATCTTTGGGCGTCTTTGCCAGGATTGGTGCAAGTGTTAATATGATTAACCAGCCATGCAAATGTTCTTGAGTACAGCGCCTTGGCCATTGCATGTCGGTTTTCGTCTGCCTAAAATTTGACATACAAAACTCAATTAGAAAACATTTCATTTGCCCCTCAATTAGCATCACTTTGGTGGAGAACTTACTTCTTGAAGCTTAAGAGGAATCTCTGTAATGTTGCCACGAACATTGATCTGTCGTTTCAGCAAAACTTGAGCTATGTCATTTTCCTCCAGCCCCAAAAGCTGAGCAACTTTGCTAACAACTTCTTTATCAGAAGCAGCAAGTTCACAACGCTCTCCATCAACATCCTACGACAAGAAACAAGAGAAAATCAATGACAAATTTATAATAATTATCAGCTGATATCACATCAAAACACAACTTACCTCAAACACTGTGTTACCCAACCAAAGAATAGCAGACAGAACACTGAAGATTCCATCAACCATATTTGATGGAATGTGAACAACATTAAATGCAAGGCGTAATGCATCAAATTTCTTGGCATCACACACCCCCTCAATATTGATACAACCAGATTGATTAAGGTACTTGTAAAAGTCAGCTGATCGTAAATGGAATTGTTCTGACAGTTCTTTGTTATTCTAAAAGAAAAATTAACATGAATACTATACTATACTATACTAGAAGATGATTCAAATAGTTCAGTAGTAAGTGGTTGCTGTTACCTTGGCTCCACCCACAAGTTGATAGAATACATGGTAGTTACGTTCTTGAGGGCTCTGGAAAGTTATTCTACTCTGCTCCAAAAGATAGTCTTGAATGATGCATCCTTTTATCATCCACCGGTTATCAAAACAAACTTGCATAAATTTCCCAAACCTTGATGAATTGTCATTGCGCACTGTTTTGGCATTTCCTGTAGGAAGAATAGATAAATAAATGACACTATATCAACAAATAACAAAGTTTTTAGATCAAGATCCCTATGTATGGTTAGAACTACGAGGCCCTTACTAGTATGAATGACATGTCTCTGTATGTCCACATTGTACACTCTGACAATGTGTGTTGTTGTGGTGATGAAAGTGGTTTGAATGTTGTTTGTTCCCTCTAGCGAGCAGACGATGTCACTCACAGCCTTGTATAATATATTTTAAAACTGATAATAACTAGGTCATGTTAGCCAACTCTCTTACAAAGATTCATACAGAAGTATTTAAAATCCACCCAAAAATTTACGACTACTATACAATATAAATGCCATACTGTGCCAAATATATTTTTTCTTGTTTCAATTTAGGGTTCATAATTAGATTCTTTTTATCTGCAGAAATACAAATTTATCTGCTAAGGTTGGCAACCCGGCTTCATCGATCCACCACTTCTCAGAGTCAACATGGCGGCCGTCGAGGTAGGACGTATGTGCGAATCCCCAGGCTGCGATGCCTCGGCAAAATTGCAGTGTCCGACGTGTATCAAACTCGGCATTCAAGGATCCTACTTCTGTTCACAAGAGTGTTTTAAGAAGAGCTGGAAAGTGCACAAGGTGATCCATCAAGTGGCCCAGGGTGACCTCAACTCTGGGGGCGAAGAGAAGGAGTACCAGCCATGGCCGAACTACCGGTTCACTGGGAAACTCAGGCCCTTTCCTCAGGGTCCGCGACGCACCGTGCCCCCGCACATCGGCAGGCCAGACTACGCCGACCACCCTGAGGGCGTGCCATTGTCCGAGCAGCGCGTTAAGGGCGCCTCGCACATCAAGGCTCTCGATGACGAAGAGATTGAGGGTATGCGCGTCGCGTGCCGGCTCGGTCGCGAGGTGCTGGACGAGGCCGCCAAGGTGATAGACGTCGGCGTCACGACGGAAGAGATCGACCGGGTGGTGCATGAAGCTTGTGTTGACAGGGAGTGCTACCCTTCGCCTCTGAACTACATTCAGTTTCCTCGCTCATGTTGCACCTCTGTCAATGAGGTTATCTGCCATGGCATCCCAGATACGAGGGCTCTAAAGAACTGGGACATCTGCAATGTTGATGTTACTGTCTATCATAGGGGATTCCATGGGGATCTCAATGAGACATTCTTTGTCGGTGAAGCAAAACCCGAGGCGAAGAAACTAGTGCAAGTCACTTGGGAATGCCTGCAGAAATCAATTGAGATTGTGAAGCCTGGTGAGAAGTATAGAGAAATAGGTAACATTATTCAAAAGCATGCTCAAGCTAATGGATTCTCAGTTGTACGTAGCTACTGTGGTCATGGTATCCATCGCTTGTTCCATACAGCACCTAGTGTGCCCCACTATGCCAAGAACAAAGCTGTTGGCATCATGAAACCAGGTCATTGTTTTACAATCGAACCCATGATATCTCTAGGCAGTTGGAGAGATGAGATTTGGCCAGATAATTGGACGGCTGTCACTATTGATGGTTTGCTGTCAGCTCAATTTGAGGAAACATTATTAGTAACTGATACGGGTGTTGAGATACTAACACGACGCTTGAATAAAAATGGCCAGCCCTATTTCATGGACCAACTTGGCAACTAAGTACCATGTTTCCGAAGTTAAAATCATGCGAGTGTATTTAGCAATAGTGCACAGGGTATGTGGTTGATGTTTGTTTGCCTTTGTAAGTGATTCTTGTGTTGTTAGTAATTTTCTTTCTATTTGCTGACATTTATTTTATTGTCTTCACTTTCTTACGAACCAAATTACTGATTGTTAGAGATTGTGATATATTTGGTAGGAATGATACTGTGGAAGTTTGGGGGTAAAAATGAGCATCCAACAAAGTATTATAAAATATGTCTTACAGCAGTGAACCAAATGCCTTTGCAACATCTAGTCTCATATAATGTTGTTGAACAGCATTTTGGCAGAACATGATTTTGTATTATAGTGTAGAGGGAACTGGATCAATACTGTGAGCTTAAAAACAAATATTATTAAATTACTGTCTGAAATGTTTCTCAGACAATGTTTGAAGATCCATGTACTCTTATGTTGTATGTAAATTACCCTTTTGCCATGCTGGACTATTGCTATTTTGGGGACTTAGCTTTGTAAAGTTAATTATCTGATGCTTTGATGAGACAATGTAATTGAAATTTATGTACCTGTTATCAATATTTTTTACCTTTTGTATGTCCTTTTCTTTGTCAGTCAATAGGTGTAGCCAAGACTAAATAAATAAGTTTGCCCTTCAATTTTTACTCCTAAGGTTGACTTGTTATGATTTTGAGATTGAAGGTGTTTTACACTTAGTCAAGTTCTTCTCAAACAATAATTCATCCACTGCATTGGGTAATTATTGACTTTAACCCCGTTTAGTTAAAAATTCACATGGAAGATAACCAGTCCATGATCTGTGCCTTATTCCTCGACATAATATGCAGTCCAGATTTTCTAGAATACCAACCAGTGCAAAAATATTGACATAGTACTTAAATCTTGTTTCAGCAAAAATAAGAGTTGAAAGCTATATTTTGTTCAGGAGAGACTTTATTTGGAGACTGGTCATCTATATTTAAATAGTTCAAACCCCTGCCGCTTCTACAGAAGAAATAAATTTGTACTTCAACACACATTTCTATAGTTACTTTTTTTGTATGCCTCTTCCCATTTGGGTTTAGAAAAATGGGCGGACAGATATAAATACATACAGTGCAAAAAGGCAGTATCTAGTCAAGGCAATAGACAAGTCAGGGGGTGGGTGCTTGCTGAGCTAGCCGACAGTGATCCATTTGTTTACAGACTACTGGTCTCAGGGGCTTGCACTGTAGGTCACGCCCCGCCCCCTATTCGGAGTACCAGAACCAGACCAAGCTGACCGTAGCGCGGCGCGGCGGGTAAGGCTTCCTTGCGAGGAGTAGGCACAGAATACACGTACGGGCAGTCGGTGCGCAGCGCAGGCTGCGGTAAGCAAGCACCCCTTTACTGCGCTTGTGGCCTGTAGCGTGTGTCTTATCAAAACAGATTTTACTTAGGGGCGTACAACTGCATCATTGACGGCGACAGCCTATCAACCCCAACCCCAACCACCCTTGACACAACTAATAAGATCCGATTTGGTTGGAGAGTTAAGTGTCCTTTACTCAACCATTCAATGATGCACCCATAAAATATGCATGGGTTGCCTTACCGAACGACTCGAGGATGGTGTTGGCTTCGAGGATCTGCTGCTCCACCCAGGTCGACACGTTGCTGGTGACCGAGCACAGATACTGGAGGATGAACTTGGTGGTCTCCGTCTTGCCGGCGCCCGACTCGCCCGAGATGACGCAGGATTGGTTCTCATCGGCGGCCTGCAGAGAGGCGTACGCGGCCTCGGCCAGGGCGAACACGTGCGGCTCGAGCAGCCCCAGCTTCTGCCCATGGTAGTTGAACACGAACTCCTGGCGACAGAAGAGAGAGGTTCTCGGTAAGAAAATTGTACGGAGCAGTGTGCGAGTCGCGTCGCCCAGCGTCGCCCAGGGCCTTCCGCGAGGTTTGCTTTTACCAAGTTTACTGTCATTTGCGTCGCGTCGGGGGAGAGGAGGATGAAGTAGGAGGCGAGACGAGGGTGAGAGGACAAAAACGACGGAGAAAGGAGGAGGGGGGGGGGATTCGACGGCAGCTATAAGCGTCCCCATTCGAGGGAGTGTCGTGCGAGCACGGCGCGCCTCCTCCGCCAGTCACCCAACCCCTACCCCCCCTCCACCTCCCGCACGCTGACATGAGAAAGGCGAGAGACAATATAACGCATCCCGCGAATTTAACCCTAGCCGGCCGCGTGGCGTATGGCGCCGATAAATAACGTCCCGGACAGGCGGGGGTGGGGCGGGGCGGCGGGGCGCGGGTGGGGCACCACGATGTCGGGGCCGCTTATAGTGCCGCGCCTCGTCCGCCCCGCCCCGCCCCGCCCCGCCACGCGCTCACGCGATCGGGCGGCGCGTGAAGGGAGGGCAACAAGCCCGCCGCCGCGCCACTCGCGGGGGAAGCAGTGACATCATCTGCGGCCGCTCCGGGGTGACTCCGTACCCGCGGCCAAAGCCGAGGCCCAAGCAGTTGGGGAGTCGTGGAAACAGTTTTTGCAAGGTATAGCGATACTTGGCAACCCTAAACCCACTTGTGGGGGGGTGTTAGGCGCCACCGACACCGACCATAGGGCGGGTCCAAGCCGAGGGCGAGCACGGCGTGAGCGTGCGGCGGCCGCCCCCAGCCCGCCCCCAGCCCGCCCCCGGCCCGCCCTATTGATTGTTAAGGGTGCGCCCGCCCGTCCCGCCCGCCCCGCACGCCGCGGCGGCTCCAGCTGGTGACTCACAGCGCCGCGCCCCTGGTGGAGGTGGTGCACCGTTGGAAAAGAAAAATGACAATGAAAGTAGTGCCGGTGCAATTAGAACTCCATCCATCATCCCACACCACCTGAGGGGCGTGACCAGCAGGGGTCTGCTGCACGACGGCGGGCCCGCGCGAGCAGCGCTGGGCGGGGCGGCAGCGCCTGCCAGGCGGCGGGGCGGCAGCACGCCGGACGCGCCTGTCCGGCAGCTGGCCCACCCAGCCGGGCTGCCCCCAGGAGCAAGGGAGGAGGGCGCGCAACTTGCGGCGGGGTGGAGTTTGGAGACTGCGGTGGAGTGCAAGCAGTGCAAGCACCGCTCCACGCCCGGCGCGGAGAAGAACCCCGTTGAGAAAGTTGTGGGAATGCACGCAGGCAGCCAAGGTGGAGGAAGGACGCGCGTTTCCCGAAACTTGATAGAGGGAGGGGAACGCATCAGAGCGGGTGGGAGCGGGGGGGATGAAGCCCGCGGACCAAGACAGATGACTGACATCGAGGGGGCCTGCGCCGCCTGCGCGTCGGCCGCCGCCTTGCTGTCCCCGGGCTGTGCGGGGAGGGTTTGCAATCACTCAAAGCCACCGCACCAGGGCAAGGGGCAGCGCGCCGCATCACACGCTCCACGCAGCAGCAGTAGCGGGGCTTATATAGCGCCCGCCGGGAGGGGGGGGGGACACCGATCCTCGCCGTCGGACCATCATCGGGAGGGGAAGAAGGGCTGCTGCTGCACCAGGGCACAGAGGAAGGCAGCAATAGCACGCTACTTGCGGTCAAGTCGGTCGCAAAAGAACACGATCACGACAACGGAGCTGGGGAGGCGGAAACAGGCGGACCTCCTCGGACTTGAGTGGAGGGCAAAGTAGCAAAGTAGAGCTGGGGGAGGTGCCCCGAGGTGGCTCGCCGCGGCGAGGCGGTGGAGCGTGCTGCTGCTCGGCACCTGCCGCCGCCCTCCGCCAAACAAGATCAAGAGGCCCCCATTTAATCAGAGCAAAGGCCAGGGGTGGGCGGCAAACAAATCAGGGAACAACAAAAATTGGGGAGTGCGCGCCGAGTCATCATCTCTGGTGGGGCCGGGCCGGGTCGGGGGAGGTCCCGGTCCGGCGCACGGGGCCTTTCGCTACAGACCCCGCCCCGCCCCACCCCGCCTCGTCGCGTCCACCAGGCGGGCATCCGGCTTCCTGCCCGGTGCACGACCCTCCTCTGCCCCTTCTCATTTCGTTATTCCACCTCCACGCCCTCTCCTCTCTCTCGCTCTCTTTTGGGGTCTGGCCCTGCCTGCGCGCCCTTATACTCCCCCTAGGGTCTTGCTACCTCATTATCACTTTGCAGCCTCCTACATTTACTCGTGTGTGTGTGTGGGGGGGGGGGGTCTCTCCGTCCCCAGCCTCTTAGACAACAAGTTGCGCTCTCTCTCGGAAAGGAGAGATTGCAGACTAGAGAGCGAAACAGGGTGAAGTCGGAAGTAAAAAGAGGGAGGAAGGGCAGAGGGCGGCAAGAGGACGAGAGGACGGATGCCCCGAGAGCGCGGGGCGCGCTGTCATTGTCCGTCTGGGATGGGAGTGGGAGGGAAGGAGGGAGACACAGAGAGAGTGCGGAGGGGTGGCAAGATTTACGTTAAGGTTATTAACGCGATTTAGGAGGCCTTGCGACCTCAGAGGGGTGCGTCCTGCACTGTGCGCGCCCATTCACTCCCGTCCCCCTCCCTTCCCTTTCGCTCTCTCCCCTCTTTCATCTCACTCACGTACTATAGTGAGATCGAGGACTTAACTGCCGATTACCCTATGCACCACTTGCTCCGCGTGAGTCGCAAAGACTCTTGCCGCAGCTCCCATGTGCGTGCGCTCACTCAATAAAGTTATCGCCAGTTTTCGCAGAGCTGCCTCGAAGAGTACATGTCTTGCTCCGCGGTCGGGGTGGTCACCGCCGCCAGAGAGGCCAGATTGCTATTCTAGCTCGCAGCTCTCAGCGCAGGTCGTGGCTTATATTTTGTTTTTCCTGCGTATTATTTCTCCACCCAGTTCACCCAACTAAACTACTGCACGCTGTTGGTTTTCGTTCTCCCCAACCCACCCCCGCACCGCCCAGCCAACTCCCCCGCCCGGTCGCCCCCGCGGCCCCACCGCCATGACCTGGTTTCAGCAGCCCCCTTGCAGGACAAGCGCCACCACCACCACCGCCGCCACCAGCCGGGCGCAGCCAGGCCGGGGGTGAGCCGAGAAGGGACGCTCATCCCTCCTCATCCACTCTTCCCTCAAACGTCGCGATGAGCGCGTCTCTATCGCCGCCGACGCCCCCAGCAGAGTCCCGCATCGCCCATGCGCACGGATTGAGGCAATGAATATGGCCATAGCGGGGCGTCCGGGCGGGGTCGGATTATCTTCCCCCGCCATCAAGGTCCCGCCATCTCTGAGGCGCCCCGCCGCCGCCTGTTGGATGCTGCGGTGTGTCGGCTTTTGACGTGACGTCGAACAGTCTGCCGAGGCAGCCGCACCGCGCCCCTGTGTCGTGTACGGCGGTGACGGCCGTGTATATAGGGGTGGCAATCACACGCGTGGCGCGCGTCCCCGCTCCCTTCCGGTTCCGTCCTCTCTGAGGGTCCGGTGTGGTGCGGTCCCCTCCACCCGGCCGCCCCGCCTCGGGTCGGGGCCATACCCCGGCCACCCCGGGGCCGACATTTACACCTCTGCCAAAAGCTTACGCCCCGACCACCCCTCTGCAGACCAGGGCCAGGGGTGATTCAATTTCCCGGAATTAAAGGAGGGCGGATAGAGCTGGGCAGAGTGGCTGTCGAACGAACGCGCACCCCCAGCTCACTCCCACAAACCAAAGTACTTGGTGCTCAACCCGCCCTCGGAAAGTTTTATGGCGGCATTTGGACCCAAGTTGATCCCGCGTCCCGCAGTTGTCCATCTTGCCCTTTCTAGTTAGAAGACAACACCACTGCATGCGTAGGTGCTAGCGGGGTTTCACCGAGGGGCAAGTGCGGCTTGCGGTCTGTGGAGGTGTGAAGGTGCACTGCGAGCACCGTCATGTCGTGTGCCCTGCAAAGTGCAACACGCCGACAAACTGCACAACAGGGCCACGCCACGAACGGGTGGGGGCCGCAAGCGGGGCTAGGGGCGGGGTGCGTGAGGGTCGCCGAGGGGCCGACCGGC